AGCAGCACACCGTCAGTCTTTCCTGAGGCAGAAGGCAGATTAGTCACATACAAAATCAAAATGGATTCAGACGGTTTTCCTTTTTTTCTTGGGAAATAGTCGCTCATATCTATATTTTTTGTTCACCTATAACCAAGGAAAGGGGACAAAGGATAAGGGAGGGAGGGAGAAAGCAGAATTAATTATCATAGGCCTTTTCTTTCCATTGTTCAAGTGCAATTAAACTTTATTCCTCAAATAGATTTTGATCAACTTGCCATAAAGAAAATTCTCAATACCAATTTACTTCTAGTAAAGAGATTTAATTCTTTGTATCACTGACATTAGAGCACTAATGGTTATGTCTGCTCTACAGAACTCAATCCCTATAGTTGCACGGTATGCAAATATAAAAGAGAAAGAACACTTCATAGCAACAAAACACCAACTGGAATCTTGTGTAATAAACCAACTTTCTCAAATAGAATTCTTTTTAACTCCCATCAATTGCATTTTTTTGCCTAATCTCACTTAGGGTAATTTAATTCAAAGAAATGGAATTACATAAATATAGAACCTGAACAGAGTGAAAATGAGATATGATGTCTTCATGGAAAAACACAAAGCCATGTCACTTCCGTGCAACTCTTCAGCTGGATAAAATTAAAGCTTGCTTCTCCCATAGTGGGATGTGGTTTGAGCTGTAGTTTGCATATAATTATTGATGACAAACATACTATAATAAAGGAGGTGCAATGGTGCTGGTTTTTGGAATGGAGAAATATGTTACTGTCTCCAACCTGAAGTGATTTTGTCCTTGGTTGACCATTCACAATTCAGAGACCCATGCTGTGGCAAATCTTTATGAGGAAAATGAGATTGTATTTATTTTAGTAACCAGATTCAACAGGAATATTGCCAACCGTTGAAAATACAGTGAGACTTTCAGGACTGATCTCATTCAGAATAAACAAATGTGTCTTTTCAAAGATCACAGCAACGTTCTCCAACCTTTGGGATCATCCAAATCCAACAAAACATCTGGACTTGGGTATGGAATTAAATAACTACATTTGATTTCAAGCAGAAGTAACAAATCACCACCCCCGCAAAACAGATGAAAATTGATACTGAATTGAACTTTCACCATCTGGTTGCTCTAGGTCAAAAATCCAGCAGTTCCATTTATGTATCTCCTCCAGAAACATGTGGCAAAACAAGTAGATTTCAAAACCAGCAGTACCTAGGCACTTTAAGCACCTGAGCAATTATCTTAACTCTTTAAAAAGAAAGGCACTAGAACACCTGAGACAGCAGCTGTTAGTGAGGTTCTCCTCAAAACTTACTTATATAGCATGAGTATATTTATGATTAAAATCCTGAGGACAAAGGGTCTGGATACCAACTTTAGTATAAGTCTTCCTGAGAGCTTTGTTCCTTTCCTTCCACCCACCCCCACTTAAAAAGAAAATGTGCCTTAAACAAAAAGCACTAGCATTTCAAAAAGTGAATAATGACCTACCAGAAGTTATATTCACACAGAGAAATTGTCTGAGCAGCCACAGATCAGGTTAGGAAAGCTAATGCCCTGATAGAATCAAATCTGGCCAAGGACATCAAGGGCAACAAGAAAAGCTTCTATAGGTATGTCAGGGATAAAAGGAAGACTAGGGAAAATGTGGGCCCTCTCCAGAACGAAATGGGAGACCTGGTTACCCGACATGTGGAGAAGGCGGAGGTACTGAATGACTTTTTTGCCTCAGTCTTCACCGACAAGTGCTCGAGCCTCACTGCCCAAGCCGCAGAAGGCAAAGGCAGGGACTGGGAGAATGAAGAGCTGCCCACTGTAGGAGAAGATCAGGTTCGAGACCATCTAAGGAACATGAAGGTGCACAAGTCCATGGGACCCAGATGAGATCCACCCACGGGTCCTGAAGGAACTGGCGGGTGAAGTTGCTAAGGCACTCTCCATCGTATTTGAGAAGTTGCGGCAGTCCAGTGAAGTTCCCATTGACTGGAAAAGGGGAAACATAACCCTCATTTCTAAAAAAGGAAAAAAAATATGACCCAGGGAACTACAGGCCAGTCAGTCTCACCTCTGTGCCTGGGAAGATCATGGAACAGATCCTCCTGGAAGCTATGCTGAGGCACATGGAGGACAGGGAGGTGATTTGAGACAGCCAGCATGGCTTCACCAAGGGCAAGTCCTGCCTGACCAACCTAGTGGCCTTCTGTGATGGCGTGACTACATCAGTGGACATGGGAAGGGCTACAGATGTCATCTGTCTGGACCTCTCTCAGGCCTTTGACACGGTCCCCCACAACACCCGTCTCTCTAAACTGGAGAGGTATGGATTTTTGATGGGTGGACTGTCTGGTGGGTGAGGAATTGATGGGATGGACGCACCCAGAGGGTAGTGGTCAACGGCTCAATGTCCAGATGGACGTCAGTGACGAGTGGTGTCCCACAGGGGTCTGTACTGGGACTGGTACTGTTTAATATCTTCATCAATGACAT